CCCCCCCCCCAGTCACATCAGTCTCTGTACAGGAGGAGCTTACACTCTAATGTCCCCTCCCCCACAGTCACATCAGTCTCTGTACAGAGGAGCTTACACTCTAATGCCCCCCACGGTCACATCAATCTCTGCACCAGAGGGGCTTACACTCTAATGTCCCCCCACAGTCATACACTATTATTATACATTTATATAGCTCTCACAGATACCGCAGTGCTGTACAGAGGACACGGAGCCATCAGAATAGTCCGTGCATCCAAACAGTTGCAGCCGGTTAACTTTTATAAATGTGTAACCTCTTGAAGGGAGATTTACTTTATTTTAGGACCATCTAATGATTTCTTGTCTCTGCTCAGGAGAACAGTTAACACATCACAAGGCTATTTATACCCCCCGGGTTATCTCTAAACATGCCCTACAGAGCATTATTTCAGACACATGCGTTCAATAGCAACCGCCCAGAATAGCCTCGTGACTGACAGGTGGGAGGGCATGAGAAAATGCAGCGGTTTCCTCCCAAGCTATTTCCAGCAGAGTGATGCCGGTTAATTGCATACCGCCAGCCGCTGTACACTGTACCTTCATGACAAATTACAGCAAACGCCGTGAAAGGAAATGCCAATCAATATCATCCTTTATCATTCCGAAGCAGGAGAAGCGTTTGCATTACCATAAGTTTTGCCCCCTAGTGTCCCCTCCCCCTTCTTAGGGATTTGCTCCAACACAGACCACTATGACGGTGCTCGCAAAAGTCAATCAAGACCCAGATTAGATGTCTTGCCTCCTTGGGAACCCCACAAGCCCCCGCTGTCCAGTTAAACTCATGAACGACCAGTAATAGAACATCCCCCTGTATACCTGCTATTAATATATTACTTGTAAGGCATGCACACGGTCACGGTGTGCTTATTTCAGCTCTTCGTCAAACTTCAAAATGGCCGGTGTTATATCTGATCACATGTGCAGCACCCATGGCAACTACAATCCAAATAGAGGCTAAGATGGCGCCTTCCTTGGCTATAAGGGATAAGAGGTAGTAGTTTACCTCCAACATGGTAATGTCACTTCAAAAGGTCATTTTCAATAGTTTTAAATCAGCTGCTTTCATTGCAATAGTATTTGGTGATCCATGTGCAGGCACTTCCTGTTCTACGGTGACAACGCTCTAGCCCTAATAATTGTGGTTTTGCATTGTCACCATGGAGACTACAAGTGGCAGTTCCACAGGTACGATCCACTGTTGTCACCATCAGGAAACCAGCTCTGACATACGCCATGCAGGCATCTCTGGAGTGCCTGTAGACAGGAAGTGGCTGCACGAGATCATAGAGCGCATTGGACATGAGTGTTTAATTTAGGATCTGCTCGTCAGAGGGCGGGGCCCCCCCCACGACTTCTGCAAGTACCACCTGGAAAGGGACACCTTTTTTGGGGGGACACATATTTCGGCAAGCGTCCCCTTTGGATTAGCTGGGTAGCTTAAATCAAGAGTGGGCAACCTCAGCACCCCAGCCGTGCTGAAACTACGTCTGGGAGTCATGCCCGTGGCTAAAACCTCAGCACTCCAGAGCTGTGCGGTCTCTGCCTTTGGGAGTCATGCCCATGGCTAAAACCTCAGCACTCCAGAGCTGTGCGGTCTCTGCCTTTGGGAGTCATGCCCATGGCTAAAACCTCAGCACTCCAGAGCTGTGCGGTCTCTGCCTCTGGGAGTCATGCCCGTGGCTAAAACCTCAGCACTCCAGCAGTGCGGTCTCTGCCTCTGGGAGTCATGCCCGTGGCTAAAACCTCAGCACTCCAGCAGTGCGGTCTCTGCCTCTGGGAGTCATGCCCGTGGCTAAAATCTCAGCACTCCAGAGCTGTGCGGTCTCTGCCTCTGGGTGTCATCCCTGTGGCTGTCGAGTCTTGGGACTTGTAGTTCCACAACAGCTGGAGTGCCAAGCTGGCCTAAATGATTGTGACAGAAGTAAATGAAGTGCTTAGCAAACACCAGACTGCAGCTTCCTTGGGCAAACATGAAGGCCCCATTCACTCATAGGCGTATCGGGTACGCACGTTAAATGTGCACAATAGTGCATGCTTTGATGTGCGTTCACAAAACGCTCTTGCGGTGCGATTACTTGTTAAATGGCACCCCAAACATGCTATATTTCCCACCAAACAGATACACTATACACCCGTTTGGTTGGAGCGAGGACACACTCCTGCCGCTGGGCACCCGGCTGTCTTTCCCCTGCTAAGCTGTGGAGTAGCGGAGCTTTATTTCTATGCCTTGTTACATATGCACCAATGTGGAACGCATGTCGCAGAATCTGCTACATGCACTACTTTCCCGCTTTTGGTGCTCGTCCAGAAACCCATTGAAATTAACAGGGACATGTGTCAAATGCAGAAAACGATGGCACGCAACTGTGAGTGCATTCCAACCATGCCTATGTGTGCTCAGATGATCCCCCCACCCCTCCTTTCCACCATGCTTATGTGTGACCTAGGCCTAAGTGCTCAGATGATGCCCCCCCATTCCCCGCCTTCCAGCATGCTTATGTGTGATCTGGGCCTAAGTGCTCAGATGATGCCCCCCCATTCCCCGCCTTCCAGCATGCTTATGTGTGATCTGGGCCTAAGTGCTCAGATGATGCCCCCCCATTCCCCGCCTTCCAGCATGCTTATGTGTGATCTGGGCCTAAGTGCTCAGATGATGCCCCCCCATTCCCCGCCTTCCAGCATGCTTATGTGTGATCTGGGCCTAAGTGCTCAGATGATGCCCCCCCATTCCCCGCCTTCCAGCATGCTTATGTGTGATCTGGGCCTAAGTGCTCAGATGATGCCCCCCCATTCCCCGCCTTCCAGCATGCTTATGTGTGATCTGGGCCTAAGTGCTCAGATGATGCCCCCCCATTCCCCGCCTTCCAGCATGCTTATGTGTGATCTGGGCCTAAGTGCTCAGATGATGCCCCCCCATTCCCCGCCTTCCAGCATGCTTATGTGTGATCTGGGCCTAAGTGCTCAGATGATGCCCCCCCATTCCCCGCCTTCCAGCATGCTTATGTGTGATCTGGGCCTAAGTGCTCAGATGATGCCCCCCCATTCCCCGCCTTCCAGCATGCTTATGTGTGATCTGGGCCTAAGTGCTCAGATGATGCCCCCCCATTCCCCGCCTTCCAGCATGCTTATGTGTGATCTGGGCCTAAGTGCTCAGATGATGCCCCCCCATTCCCCGCCTTCCAGCATGCTTATGTGTGATCTGGGCCTAAGTGCTCAGATGATGCCCCCCCATTCCCCGCCTTCCAGCATGCTTATGTGTGATCTGGGCCTAAGTGCTCAGATGATGCCCCCCCATTCCCCGCCTTCCAGCATGCTTATGTGTGATCTGGGCCTAAGTGCTCAGATGATGCCCCCCCATTCCCCGCCTTCCAGCATGCTTATGTGTGATCTGGGCCTAAGTGCTCAGATGATGCCCCCCCATTCCCCGCCTTCCAGCATGCTTATGTGTGATCTGGGCCTAAGTGCTCAGATGATGCCCCCCCATTCCCCGCCTTCCAGCATGCTTATGTGTGATCTGGGCCTAAGTGCTCAGATGATGCCCCCCCATTCCCCGCCTTCCAGCATGCTTATGTGTGATCTGGGCCTAAGTGCTCAGATGATGCCCCCCCATTCCCCGCCTTCCAGCATGCTTATGTGTGATCTGGGCCTAAGTGCTCAGATGATGCCCCCCATTCCACCATGCTTACAAACCTTGGCAGCGTCAAGCATCTCCTGCGTCTCCTCCTGAGAGTGACTGATGAACACATCGCCGATCTGGTACGGAATCAACAAGGAGTCGTCCAGCACCATGAGGTCATCGCAGGCGTCCTCCAAATTCTGGAGCTCTTTCTGTCAGGACGAGTCACAAGTTACAATGCGGCAGAGAGCGCGGAGGAGCGTAAATCACTCAGCCGGGCTATGATAGGCTACGCACCGGCAGGGCTCATGAAACAAGCTTCCGAAGGCCTCATTCAAACTGCGAAGAGCCGGCCCCGTACAGATTCGTGCGGCTCCCGGGAAGGACAGGTGCTGCGTGTTATTTGTACGCAGCCCCTGTCCTTCTCTATGGGAGTACGCGGCCGTACGCTCACCCGAGCGGGTGCAGGTGTCCTCGGATGGATCCGGTCTACGTCAGAGCACAGATGCGCAGCTCGGGTGAGCTTACGGCTGCATACTCCTATAGAGAAGAACGGGCTGCTGCGTACTAAACACACGTAGCACCTGTCCTTCCCGGGAGCGGCCCGAATCTGTACGGGCCGGCTCTTCACAGTGTAAATGAGGCCCGACAGACAGGTCCTCTTTAATGCATTGTTTACAAAAGGGGGTTGTGAAGGTGATCTGAGATGTTTGTGACTTGTGCTCCTCTTGTGTACATGGATGTGATCCTTCTAATGTAAATATTTACAAGTGACGCCAATGTTTTGATAATGTGGAAGTTGTAATTATGTAACACGGAGGGGCAGCAGGATGTGGTCATTACATGTACACAATGCTTCATGGTAAAGAGAACCGGTCACCGAGCAAATATAATGCTGGTAAAAGCCACGGACACGTGTTTTCTTTCTTTTCCTTTTTATAAATGTTTTATTGACTTGCAATGTGCTAGACAATGTGACGGCTCCAGGGAGAGTCAGTTCCCCAGCACAGCCCCCCCTCCTGATCTAAAAGGGTGTAATTACTGTCTGTGCTGGACCAGCTCCTCCCTGGAGTGACAGCTCGGCACCTACTGGGGCTGCCAATGAAGGCACAGACAGACGACGGGGGGCAAATCTCCGGCGTACCTTCTTGATCTCGATCTCGTCTTTCAGCTCGGTCATTCTGTTCGTGTTTCTGGCGAAGATGTTAATTTTCTGTTGGTCCTCAAAGGTGACGTTGACGTCCTCGGCGACCTGGCGGGAAAGGAGACGGGTCAGGGGGTCGTGTGTCTCTACAACCAAACTTTTCTTTGTTTTGGACAGAGGGTGGAAGGGCGAGAACTGCAGTCCGTATGTCAGTGAGATTTCCCATCACTTCCTGTCCCAGGAAAAAAACAGGAAGTGACGGGGGTAAAGGTGTGCTACTATGAGGGGTAATGTGAGGTAATATGAGGGATAATGTGAGGTAATACGAGGCAATATGGGGATAATGTGAGGTAATATGGGGATAATGTGAGGTAATACGAGGGATAATGTGAGGTAATACGAGGCAATATGGGGTAATATGGGGATAATGTGAGGTAATATGAGGGATAATGTGAGGTAATATGGGGATAATGTGAGGTAATATGGAGTAATATGAGGGGATAATGTGAGGTAATATGGGGATAATGTGAGGTAATATGGAGTAATATGAGGGGATAATGTGAGGTAATATGGGGATAATGTGAGGTAATATGGAGTAATATGAGGGGATAATGTGAGGTAATATGGGGATAATGTGAGGTAATATGAAGTAATATGAGGGGATAATGTGAGGCAATATGGGGTACTATGAGGGATAATGTGAGGTAATATGAGGGGTAATGTGGGGTACCATGGAGTACTATGGAGGGGTAATGTGGGGCACTATGAGGAGTACTATGAGGGGTAATGAAAGGTTATATGGGGTACTCTGAGGGGTAATGTGAGGTACTAGGAGTAATGTGAGGTAATATGGGGTACTATGAGAGGTAATATGGGGTACTATGAGGGGTAATGTGGGGTACCATGGAGTACTATGAGGGGTACCATGGAGTACTATGAGGGGTAATGTGAGGTAATATGGGGTACTATGAGGGATAATAAGAATATGGGGTAACAAGAAATAATGTGGTGTACAAGGGTAATGTTAGGTAATTTGGGGTACTATGGGGGGAATGTGGGGTACTATTGGGGGTAATATGGGGCACTTTGGGGGGTAACAAGGGGTACTATGAGGGGTAATGTGGGGTAACAAGAGGTAATATGGAGTACAATGATGTTAATGAGTGGTACTATGGGTTACAGCAAGGGTAATATGGGATACGAGGGTAATAAGAGGTGACATGCGGGTTTATATAGAGTACTATAGGGCGCCCCATGCTGCCTTCCATTGCCCCGGCTCTCTTCTCATTGCCCCCCGTTGGATATCAGACAATGGGGTACACAGAGACAATTAAAGGTATATGGGGTGCCCTGCTCCACACATGGGGTGACACACACACACACCCCAACACCGATCACACCCTCCCCAGGAACCTCACCGCTTTCTTCATGGTGGCCGACATCTTTGGGACTTTACCACTGCCTGATCTGTACAGGGGCGACTTGCCTAACGCTATATACATACTTTGGCCCGAGGCAAAAAAAAACAACATTTTTATGTACCACCAATAAGAACACGCTCTCTGACCGACTTTATTAATCATCTCCCTCTAAGGAAAACGTACCGAGAGTCTCCTAGCGCGAAGATGGTGCAGTCTAGGAGCCCCCCTAGTGGAGATGGTACAGTCCGCATAACGAATCTCTGTGGGAGGAAGCTGCATAGAGCGGCGTGGCCACTTGATGTCGCTGTGCGCTATATGCTGAGACGGCCGATAGATGTCGCTGTGTGTTTAGGTAACCGCTAGGTGTCTTCGGGTGTTATGTGCAGAGACGGCCGATAGATGTCGCTGTGCGCTATGCTGTGGATCATTGCAGAGTTACATTGTATCAGCAGGTGACGTTTTCTTCTCTCATATTACAATTTATAGATAACAATACAGATCACACAGCGCGGTGTTTATAAACATGTGCGGGGCTCCGAGGCTGTTTCTTGCTGAGCTCCTGTCTGTCATAGTACCCCATCTCTGTCCCTGTTTCCTCTACTAGCCTGGAGGAAGACACCTGGTGTTGTACATACATTGTTATCATTGTACACTATGGGATTCAGGAGATACATGAATAGCAGCACAATCTGTCCTCATTCTTTGTGTTAGGATTGGGGAAATCATAGTATGGTACTTTGTTCTGCAATTCTTCTTCACTGGGATCCTTCCAAAATGCAGCATGGCTCATTGGGATCACATGAGAATATACACTGGGAACACAGGATCCCAATATGGGGTACTATGGGGGGTAATATGGGGTAATGTGAGGTAATATTGGGCACTACGAGGGGGAATGTGAGGTACTATGAGGAGGAATGTGATGTAATATTGCGTACTGTGAGGGGCATTGTGAAGTAATGTGTGGGGGAGGGGGGGGGGGGTTAGAATGGGGTACAATGAGGGGGAATATTGGGAACTGGGGGGTAATATAGGGGGGGCTTAGAATTGGGTACTATGAGGGGTAATATGAGGTACTATGAGGGGAAATGTGACTTAATATTGGGTACTGTGAGGGGCAATGTGAGGTAAAATGGGGCACTATGAGGGGCAATATGGGGTACAATGAGGGGGAATGTGAGGTACTATGAGGGGTAATGTGAGGCAATATGGGGTACTATGAGGGGTAATGTGAGGTACTATGAGGGGTAATGTGAGGTACTATGAGGGGTAATATGGGGTACTATGAGGGGCAATGTGAGGTAAAATGGGGCACTATGAGGGGCAATATGGGGTACAATGAGGGGGAATGTGAGGTACTATGAGGGGTAATATGGGGTACTATGAGGGGCAATGTGAGGTAAAATGGGGCACTATGAGGGGCAATATGGGGTACAATGAGGGGGAATGTGAGGTACTATGAGGGGTAATATGGGGTACTATGAGGGGCAATGTGAGGTAAAATGGGGGGGGTATACTATGAGTAGGTAATATGAAGCATAATACTGGGAATGCTTGAGAACTAGTGATGAGCCGTAGCTCACGGTATACTGAGCTTAGGGTGACAGGAGGATGCTAGTTTGTGTCCTCCCGTTACCCTAAGGAGAACTATGGGGAAAAACACTGACCCCATAGTTCTCCTTTAAAAATGGGACATGACTTCTTTTTTATAACGCAACACCCTCCTGTGCATTGCAGCATGCTGTAATGCGGGTGTGTTCCCTTAGTGCATCGGGGTGTCATTCGAAATGAGTGGCGCAGCATGCATGCACCCTACATTGCCGCATGTTGCAGTAATGCAGAGACATAAATGGCTCTTATTGAAAGTCAGAGACATCAATGGTACCCAAATTCTCTGACTTGTAGCTCCAGGAGCTTTGTATGTACCACGGCATGGAAATGCAGCACAAGCATTGTTGCTGAGACTATAAATAGTTATATTCTTTCAATTTTTTCCGGAGAGGGATTGATCCCTGCAGTCTGTAATCATGTGAAACACCCACAATGTGTTAGGAACAGCCCCTTTTTATACAATGTTGATATTAGATCCCGATAGAAAGGCTCTGGCAGTGATCACCAGCTGGAGGTGGAAGCATTAGTGGCCTCTGCTGATGGAGAGGATCTCTATTTAGGTGCAAGATGCTGATTGGCCGGCTGTACACAGATGACACACCACACCTTTTGCAGATGAAGAAGCCCAGCCTGACGTAAGGACAATGCTTCCATTTTTTTTAATTTAGAAAGATCAATTCTTTTACAATTCTTGTTACTCTTCCTCTTTTTGCCACAAGAGGTCAATGTCCCTTAACCCAGGAGACTGAGGACATCTTGTGGCAAAAAGATATATTGCAGGGGGACAGCGCTGGGGACACCCATAGCCATTAAAAGGCCAACTCCACAAGAAAAATATACCTTTTGCAGTTCCCGTGCCCTTGCCTTCTCCACCCCAACGCACACACTATAAGGGATAAATGCTCATTTTTAAATAGGGATGACAGTATAGGGCAATCACTTCCCCCTCCCTTTTAGATTGTAAGCCCTCAGGGGCAGGGCCCTCCTTACCATCTTGTCTTGAATTGTATTGTGATTGTAATGTCTGCCCTATATTGTAAAGCACTGCGCAAACTGTTGGCGCTATATAAATCCTGTATAATAATAATAGGCAAACTCTGGCCTTCCAAACTGCAAATCCTATTAAGTCTATGATTCAAGGAGTCATGACCAGGGCCGGATTTTCCACAAGGCCAACCAAGGCCCGGCCTCGGGGGTAGCAGGTAGTAGAGGAGCAGCAGGGGTGTGGAATTCCTATCTGCCTGGACGGGTAGTTGTTTTCTACATTTAGCCCTGCTTTGGGATAGCAGAGCGAAATGTACAGCGGGGAAGCCGCCCTGGTCATGCCTGTGGCTTTCAGGCCTTGTAACACCTAATGGGATTTCTAGTCTCACCCAATGTTTAGCTACCCCCTGTATAAGGTCTATAACTTACCTTATGTCTCATTTCAGCAGGCTCCCTCCATTTATGCATCCAGTCCCCCCAAGCCTCTTCTCTAAATGTCTCCGACCTGCAGTCGCATGCTTACCTCCTCACATACAATGCAAGATGCCGTGATGGCGCAGAGGGACCTCCCACAGACCTGAGCCTCAGGAAGAAAAGGTGAGTGCCGGGGCGAGGGATACAGTAAGTAATGCAGCCTCTTCCACTACCATCTAGATCAGGGACAGGCAAATTTCGACCCTCCTGCTGTTATGGAACTACAAATCCCATGAGGCATTGCAAGACTCTGGCAGACGCAGGCATGACCCCCAGAGGCAGATGCATGAAGGTGTTTGAAGTTTGACCACAGCTGGAGGGCAGGAGTTAAATGAGCATTTAACCCTTGCAGTGCATGCAGGGAGGGGGGGGGGGCGTCTCTGCAAGTTTTGTTTTTTTTTCCCATCCCAGGGTTGGGCTTTTATCTGAAAAAGGACATACAGTACTATGCATGCAGGGTGTCATGATTCCACCCCCTGATGGGCCGTCACCATTGCGCCCTGCACTCTAAATGAAAAGCAAGGAGATGAAAAAAAGCATGCATTCCCTTTAAAGGAGAACTATGGGGTAAGTGTTTTGTTCCCATAGTTCTCTTCAGGGTCACGGGAGGACATAAACTAGCGTCCTCCCGTGACCCAAAGCTCAGTATATAGTGAGCGTAATACTGAGACCGCAGCAGCCGGGACAGATCCTGACATTACTGTCTGGATCCACCCATCTGCATGATTGACAGCTGGCTCTGCCTATCTAGAGGCAGAGCCAGCTGTACCCGCCCCCTCCCCCGTTCGTTCCTCCTGTCAGCGCCGGAAGGATCGGACAGGGGAGGGGGATCCCTGCAGGGAGCCGTGAGTGACAGTCACGGCTCTCTGCAGGGACATGTTTGAGAAGTGAGTGAACGCCGGTATGTGCTCGCTCACTTCCCGATCTATAGAGCCGACCTGTGACAGTTTCATTGTCACACGTCGGCTAGAACTATGCGGTCGAGTAAAAATCACCCACCTCATAATGCATTTATTTGGTCCGTGGTCACTCGTCCAGGGCCTGCAGAAAAGGAATAGGTCAACGGGCCAAAAACTGTGCGGAAGGGGCGCAGGCGTGTGAATGGACGCAAGGACATGCCACCAATAGTTTGACAACACTGACTGTAAATCCCCATTTCCTCTGGGGTTTCCGTCTCTCCGGCTGCAATTGTTCTTGGAAGCGATCCTCCCATTGTTAATGAACCCGTAGTCTGGCGCATAGGTAAACGCATCAGTCTGTTTCGTCTGCCGCAGCGAAAGAACGGTGAGTCGATTGTCGCCTTTTCATAAGATGTGACAGAAGCGGAGATGGGAATTTTAAACAAAAAAATGGATTGTTTATAGCCGTACCTGTCACATCTCCGGGTGCATAAAACTGATGCGTATCTCAGATATTCCCCGGGCGAACGCTAACCCATTACCGCGATACAAAAACATCAACCGGTCTGGCAGGTTTCCGATGAGACGCCGCCACTGACAATGCCACCCCCTCGGGAGATATGAAAATCTATTCGTTTCACACCGGGGCTCGATATTCCGCTCCGATCTCGCCTTTCGCTTTATTACAGGCGTGAGGCGAAATGTTTATTGTACTGCGGAAGGTAAACGTGAGAGCGGCGCACCCTCTGGAGGGTTTTCCGACGGCGCCTCTTAACACGTGGCATTTATAGCGGCCGAGACAATTCCCCTTATGGTGAATGTTTACACTCTGCGCGGGTCACGGGATGCCCTACATATGTATTACACACGTAGGTCACATGGTCATGCAGGAATATGTATGAAATGCAGGAACTCCGCTCGGAATATTATTTTCATGGCTGTGCAATCTCCTTCTTTTACCTCTCTCTTATGATCCCTTTTTCCATCTCAGTGCTACTGGTCTCCTCTAGCTTCTTTCAGCCGCTTCCTCCACCATCGGCTACACGTCATTGCTCTGGACCGGCACCTAAAGGTGGCC